AGGTTATTATTATAACACACTTTTAAATTTTGTACTACACACTGCATTTTTCGTACTACACACAATTTTAGGGACTGTACTTAAGTATATTGTTTTTTAAAATACACTACATTTTTATATAATTAACCATAATAARTACCTTTTTAAGTATTTCCAATTCAAATTATTTATGTAACTAATTAAACAATTAAAGTACAATTTATTTTCAGTATCATCAATCATTACAAGAAGTTCAATTGAAAATAGTTTTTTTACTGTAATCGATCATAATATTACTAGCAGTACAGAAATAGAAGTAAGATTACATTTTTAAAGATGTTAAGAAATAATTTGCAGTGTATCTATTTCTAATATAATATTAAAACATATAATTTACTATAATACAGTTTATTGTACATTTTCTTTACTTTTCATTTTCAAAGGTAATAGTGAATATTTGGGTTAACAAATTCAAAGAAAACCCTAGAACTGGTACAATCAAGTTATTTACTGTTATAATTAATTGTTTTGATGTTGATGTTTGTGAAGATGATGCATTCATTAACTTAAATTCTGTCTTAATCTTTGCAGGAATTAATAAATGTTTTGAAGCATTGGTATGATATTTAGTAAATAATGTATTATTAATTTATAATTATTACCTATTATTTATTAAGTASAAATATAATTTTATMTTATGGTGATTAAACTTTTTAGGCAAAAACTGGTTCATTGATTTCMCCCGAAAAAATCAAAAAATCAATAGAGATCCATAAATCCTTAGAACTTTTCACTGCARTTTTTCACCATCATAGTAACTTATTTTTGGAAAAAGATGCAGATAAAAGTTATTTTACATTCCTGAGAGATATTCTTACTAGAATATCACAATCTGATTTTGTCGGACCTAGACTTCTTGCTACAAGTTTTGGTAAGGCCAAATATGTTAACAATCATATTTTGTTTAAATAATTCTATTTATTTAGGTTTGAAAATAATAACTGGTTTGGTACAGTCAAATAATATAGAACTTATAAAGAACGATCTTGAAATATTGTACACTGAGTTTTTAATAAAACGATGGAAGTAAGTTAACTACATTATGTATACATAAAATATGTATATTCATTTGTATGCGTTCACTTTTACATAGTTATTATAGTTATATGTGTTTTCTGTAATATTAATTTGATTTTTAATTTACAGAGATACATTTTATAGTGTACGAGAAAAAGTGTTACTAGAACTAGCATTTTGGATAAATATTGATTTTATTTATTTTATTAATGATTTTTGGATGTAYATTTATTGGGCACTAGGAGATCAAAGTACAAGTGTACAAACTATAGCTCTTAAAGTAAATACATATATTTTTATTTTATTAAATAGTTAAACATGAATTATATTAAATATTATTATACCTATTTAAATTAATTTAATTAAGTAATATTGATATTATATTAATTAATATTTTTCAAATCTAATTAGATGCTTTAAATTTAATTATTTTTTTCATTTTCAAACATTTTTCTTACCCTTTATTATGCATAGATTGTGTTGAAGGAAAACAAAGGGCTTAGTTTATTACGTCAAAGTATTAGTAACGTTTGAAAAAGTTAATCAGCACTCTTATGATAGKGAGTAGGGGGGCTGTAACCTCAGGTTCCAACATAATTAGGGTCCCCATATATTACTGTAATAGTCATATATGGTTTATTTATAGCAATTGATATTAAATAATTACCTTAAGACTTATTGTATAATTAATTTAAATTTAGGTTGAAGAACCTCACCTAAAAATTAGCYCCGTGTCCCAAAWTCCAAGCATGGCTTTGCAGTTGACACTTCAATAATGAAACAACTTATTATTGTATATCACCAAACCTTAAATCTATTGTAATATTTCTTAATTACTTTCAGATGGCTAATGACATATTATTAAATACTCACAGTAATATTCCTAAAGTGAGGGTGTTGATAAAAAAAATAATTTCCGTTCTAGCTAACCTACTTTTATCGACTAATGATGGAGTGGTAATKTCAGCTTTAAATTTATATTCCATATTGCCAAGGTTTTTATTCTAAAAAAAAATAATAATATTTTAAAGATAAATCATTTGTAATTATAATTTATATTTTCTTAAATTAATTTTAGTTTAGRCGATGAAGATRATGAAGAATATCACATGAATAAGGTTGAGTCAATAGCATTAGAATTAGTTTTTTCTGAAAAATCTAAAATTGCCCGAGTTGCGGCAAAACATTTTGTCAACCAAATGGTTAATTCTCAACCAAATGCATTTGAGCAATTGAAAGTTCTTATAGTCATTTTAGAAGGTGTTCCATTGCAGATTAGATTGATTGCAGCGTCCTGTTTTGTCGATGCTRTTTATGATTTGTGCCCTTTACTCACAGACTTAAAATTAATATCTCAATTTTTAACTTCAGACAATCTTGAAGATGTAGAAAAAAACAATTTTATGATTTTATTCATGTATGTTGTTAAATGGTTAATTACTGGTATTAAGCCTGAACAGAAAATGGCTTTTATGGGAGACCGAAATGATGTAAGTACTATTTTCAATTTATATAAAATATTAAGATGTAATATCTTTTAAAAATTTATTTGTGAGGAAAGTGCATATTTTTAAATTTCATTTTATTTTCAAAATCATTACTTGTAACTAGGTAAAAAATTGTTAATATATATATCATGTAATACATAAAAAATATATTAGTGCATATTGTAGTATTTAATTGTGTTCTATAACAAATCAAGTTGATATTATTATAAAAAAGYTTTTTAGTTTTAAATAAAGGTTATTGTAAAAACAGTTAAATGTAAGTTTTTTAAATTATTAATATGTACCTATTTAACGTTGTAATATGTAGGTGTAAAATGTAAATTAAAAATTACATTTGAAAAATTTTTTCATAGTCAATGTAATATATATAAATATTAAAAGTTAGACCATATTCGTTATAGGTACTTAAAATGTATATTTCAGATTATAATGAATATTAGGTTATATTAAGTTGGCTGTTATTTAATTTAGATAGTATTACTGATTTCTGTCAATTTTTTTTTTTTGTATTAATCACATTTTAGAAATAATTCCAATAAAATTTAAACTATTCATTTTATTACCAATTTTTGGCTAGCACATTGGATACCAAATTAATTTTAATTAAATGTTGCACTTTTGTATTATTGTATTAATTTATTCAATTTTATTTTATTTAAAATTCACGAGTACAATAAAATTTCCATATTACAAAGTCTCATGGACAACAAAAAAATTTTTATTAATGAACAATTTGTAAAATAAAATAAAATTAATTTGGTTAAATTCTCAAAAGTATTTTGAAAACTATGTGTAATAGAAATTTCTCAATATGGTGTGTAATTATATGACATATAATACATGTATATAACTATTTTAGATTAATCAGTTACATATTAATACAATTAAAAAAACAGAATATACTACTTATATGGTGATGCATTTACTAAATCAATTTAATGAATGTAATACACCTACACATGCATTTTCGCTATGGATTTTACTTCAGTTTATTGATTTTAAGTTACTTCAAGATAAAAAGGTACTATTATACTTCATAATATAAATGAACATATATATATATTAACTTGCCAACCATGTATAAACTGAATTTTACATATTTTAAATTTTAATATAGATAATACCCRATATATTAGATCAAGCATCATTATTTTATCAAACTTGGAATATTCCTACTGTCTTAGAGTTGATTTCAAAATGCATTAATACTATGTCTTCAAATCTAGAAGGTTCTGATCAAAGTTTATGTTTAAAATATATTAAAGATATTGCACAAGCAAACATTAAYACTTTAAAAGCTGAAATTGAAAATCCAACTAAAAATGTGATTGTATAAAATATTTAAATAAAATAGAATATGACATTCATAAATAAGTATATAAATTTATAAAATAAATAATTTTTAAGTTGTTACAATAAAAATCTACACATTAAAATTTAATGACTGCATTTATTTTTTCAGACAACAAACATATTGAGCCAAAAAAATGCTTTAATTAAAATGTGGTCTCTAGCCAAATATAACCTTATACCTGATGACTTGGAACCATTGAAATATTTATCTTATTATGTACCCAACCTATACAATAATGWATCAACCAATTTAATTGTTTCAGTATGATATTTAAAAAAATACAATATATAATGTCTGTTTTAATATATCATAATTTTTAGGAATTTGCTTTGAGTGCTTTCATGGAAGTATTCAGAAGAAAAATATTAAAAGTACCTACAGATCAGCAAAATAATTTTGCTATTGAACAGTCTGAAATTACTATGGAAAATACATATATTAGTTTTTTAAATGCTATGTTAAATATATCAAGTAAATATGACCGTCAAATTGTAAACATCTGTGAAACTGTAAGATATATTTTTTTAATTTATTAATTAGTAATTACATTTTATTTTTATATGAATTGTTTAAAATTATTTTCATTAATTTTAGGCATTTTTAATTGTTGATGACTTACTACGAATTAGATTTAACCTAGATAAAGATAATTATATTCTTGATGATGACCAAAATATAAGATTAAATGAGTTTATTTTTTCTTTATTCAATAACTATGGTATGCATTACTACATTACTTWACAAAAAAAAATTAGTTTTAAGATCTGTTTAATAATCTTTTTTAATTGAATTTTAGAATACAATGATGATTTAAGTACTTTAAGACTTGTAGAAGTATTTATACAACTTATACAAGATGGTCTTATTGAAATGAATCATTTAATTACACTATTGCAGTTTGTAAAAAAGGTACTCACRCAGCTTAACTAAAATTTTAAAATCTAAATAAATTAGACAAGCTTTTTATGTCTGGAATATTATATTTTAAAGGAATTGGTTGAACATGTACTTGTACCAGTTATTAATTTTTTCTGCACAAAAGAAACTGGAGATCAACTGAGCAATGTAATTAATTTATACTTGGTGTACATGTATGAAAATATTATTTCTCAAAAATCAGACTTCAAAAATTATACATTAAAAGATTTGGTAAGTGGTTTTGTTTCTAATATTATGCTAGTTGTCTTAAAATATTGTCACAAATATTTGTATTATTATAAATATATTTGTAAAAAAATTTATATGCCATATTTCTTCTAATTATACTTGTAATGTATTATGTTGTAACCAATTTAGGCAAATAAATTATTTTATTTTTTTGTAAGCTTAAAAAAACTCATGTGTGAGCAACCTATAGAATTTGAAAAAAAGTTAAAAACCTACACTCAAATTCCAAGTAATCTATTGATATAATTTTTATTG